GAATAGAATAGAATAGAATAGAATAGAATAGAATAGAATAGAATAGACTTCTTTATTGGCCAAGTGTGATTGGACACACAAGGAATTTGTCTTGGGGCAAATGCTCTTAGTGTACATAAAAGAAAAGACACATTCGTCAAGAGTCAAGAATCGTCAGATACAATGCTTAATAATAGTCATAGGGTACAATAAGCAATCAATGAAATGCCTGCAAGAAACAACCGAGCTCAGAGAGTGCCATGGACCGCACAGTTCAGCCCTGAGCTACAAATATTCTCTTCTATAACCATGAAAGTTTTACAGCCGCTTTTCTTTTCTCCCAAGATCTAGGGAATGTGATGATGATATTGTAGACATGCTCGGATTGGAAAACTCTGGCCTCAGCTACGGTCTCCGAAACAGCATCGCCTCTTACCTTGCCCTAACTATGGACGACAATTCTTCTGCTGAGAGAAAGAAAGCCAAAAAGACCCAGTCTTTGATTTATTGGAGCAACCACCAATCCCAACCCAACTTCCTGTATCATGAGGACTGAATCTGAGAAAACCCAACTTGGGAGTTGCAAATTAGCACTTTGAGTAGATGTTGCTGCATTCTTGAAAATCTCATCATCATCATTTCTAGATAATGAAGATCTCATCTCCAATCTCACAGATGCCCTAAATCTACCCATATTTATATTTATTTATGCGGAGGTGGTCCCTTGTAAAATATGGACTTTATTCAGGTATGATCCTCAGAGAGAGGTGAAAACTATGCACATGTGTGTATCCTTATGTATATACATCTCTTGTGATATTAAAATATTTTAAACAATTCAACACTCGTTTTACACTCACCTGGAATTTTATTTTTTATGTACATCTCGGTTGTTGTTCAGTTGCCAATCCTGTGCGACTCCATGGACCATAGCACTCCAGGTCCTCCTGTCCTACACTGTCTCCCACAGTTTGCACAAATTCATGTTCATTGCATCGGTGACACTATCTAACCAACTAAACCTCTGTTGTCCCCTTCTCCTTTTGCTGTCTTTCCCAACATCAGGGTCTTCTCCAATGAATGATTTTTTTTTCTCACTAGGTGGCCAAAGTTTTTGAGCTTTGGTTCCTGTCCTTATGTTGGAAATCATTGTTGGAATGTATGTTTATGCAACAATGACATAGTATTCAGCCAGTGGATGCAGTGTTTACAAGTTTGGATCTATGGTATACTCTGTGCTCTTTGGTTCTAAGTAGAGTTTCCTGTTAAATTCAAATAGTTGAGCAGTAAAGCACATGGTGACTGTGCTCTTTGTTTGCTCTGCGATGCTACATATAAACAGAATTTCTAACACCTTACTCATCTGAAAATAAATAGGGCTTACCATCAGTAGTGCCCTCTTGAAGAGGATTGGGTTTGAAGCTCTCTTAAGAAGGTGAATGCTGATAATATCCGCTCCCCTGTCAGGTGCTCCAATTGTTATCTGTCCTGCATCTCCCCCAAACCTTGCAATGTTCCTCCTTATCCATTGTAGAGCTATGTCTTGATCCAGAAGTCCCCAATTTCCACCTGCAGCACTGGAACCTACACAAATAAATAAACAAAGGGAGAGACAAAGGGTTGGCACAAGGGATCAAAACAACATATAGCATTTCAAATATCTGGAAAGAAAGAATATCTCTTAGAACAGGGGTCCCCAACCACCGGTCCGTGGACCGGTACCGGTCCGTGGAACATTTCCTACCGGGCCGCTGGTTTGCTGGGTGCTGCCATCTTGTTTGACGAGAAAGTGCTTCCGGGTGAGCTTTTCCGGTTGGAAAGCGGCGTTTGGGTCCTGAAGGAATCCTCGCGTCTTAGTTTCATCGAAGGGGGGGTGCTTCAAATGAAACTAAGGCGCGAGGATTCTTTCAGCACCCAAGGCAAGGCGAGCCGAGTGACCGTCCCGAAGTGATCCCAAAGTGAAGCCCATCGACAAAGGTACAAAGGAGGAGTTGAAGGTGGCCGGGAGAAGCGGGGGACAGCCGCTGGCCGGTCGCTCGGCTTGCCTTGCCTTGTCATGCATGCTGATGCCGGTACCGGGCCACGGATCATTTTGTGATGCCGGTACCGGGCCGTGGCACAAAAAAGGTTGGCGGCCACTGCCTTAGAAGATCAAGACTTTCCAGGAGGACAATTAGTTGAAAAAGATAGATAGATTAGATAGACAGATGATAGATAGATAGATAGATAGATAGATAGATAGATAGATAGATAGACAGATGATAGATAGATAGATAGATAGATAGATAGATAGATAGATAGATAGATAGATAGATAGAATACTTTCTTGGCCAAGTGTGATTGGACACACAAGGAATTTGTCTTGGTTCACATGCTCTCAGTGTACATAAAAGAAAAGATACATTCATCAAGCGTCAAGAATCATAAGGTACAACACTTGATAATAGTCATAGGGTCCAATAAACAATCAAATTATACTAGAAAACAGTCAATAAAAATCATTAGGATACAACCGACAAAGTTACAGTCATACAGTCACAAGTGGGAGGGAATGTGTGAAAGGAAGGATGGGAGAATTAATAGTAATAGTAATGTAGTAAATAGTTTGAGAGGATTGAGGGAATTATTTGTTCAGCAGAGTGATGATGTTCGGGGAAAAACTGTCCTTTTGTCTGGTTGTTCTGGTGTGCTCTATAGCATCATTTTGAGGGTAGGAGTTGAAACAGTTTATGTCCGGAATGTGAGGGGTCTGTAGATATTTTCGTAGTCCTCTTTTTGACTCGTGCCTTATACAGGTGCTCAATGGAAGGCGGGTTGGTAGTAATTGATTTTTCTGCAATCCTAATTACTCTCTGAAGTCTGTGTCTGTCTTGTTGGGTTGCAGAAACAATTTGTCTGAAATGGTAACAGGGTCTGCTGCCTGAGCAGCAGGCTGAAGACCTCCAAGCTCCCTTCCAACTCCATTAATCTGCTGTCATTCTGTTTCTCCTTACATTATTCTTATATTAAACTTATTAAACCTATTGGCACATGTCCTTTAACAAAAAAGTGTGGTTGAGAAAGAAGACTTAATAAGAAATTCCCGTGAAAGTCTCAAAAGGAAGAATTAAAAAAAGTAATCATCTGAGTAAGTGGATGTATCCTAGACTATCAAATTCACAGAGATTAAGATCTGGGTTTACCACTGAACTGAAGTTTTGAAACAACTCTGAACAAAATGTAGGGCATTCTATAAAATGAGCCCATGTGCTGAACTCAGCAGGGAAGAAAAAGAATTGAAAAAAAAAACAATAAAAGAACGGAAGCACAGTACGTTGCTGTAACATTTTTTTTTTCCACTAACTGAGACTAGTGGAAAGACTTGTGAAAATAAAGGTGTGATTTAGCATCTTTTTTCTTTGAAAAAAAATACTGCTTTTCTGATAAGGAGGTCAGAGTTGGGAGCCAACAAGATGGGAGTATTTGTCAAGAGCTCAGCAATTGGGGTGACACCATGAAGATTAAAAGATTATCAAAGTCCAACCCCCCACCCAAGCAGGATACCCTACACCATTTCTGACAAATGGCAGTCCAATCTCCTCTTGAAAGCTTCCAGTGATGAAGCTTCCACAACTTCCAAAGGCAACTTCTGTTCCATTGGTTGATTGTTCTCACTGTCAGAAAATTTCTTTTTATTTCCAGGTTGAATCTCTCCTTGTTCATTTTCCATCCATTATTCCTTGTCCGGCCTCCAAGTGCGTTGGATAATAGCTTGACCCCTTCCTGCTCTCTGTGGCAGCCCCTCAAATATTGGAAGACTGCTGTCCTGTCTCCCCTGGTCCTTCTCTTCTCTAGACTAGCCATGCCCAGTTCCTGCAACCGTTCATCGTATGTTTTAGCCTCCAGTCTCCTAATCATCTTGGTTGCTCTTCTCTTCACTCTTTCTAGAATTTCAACATCTTTTTTAGTGTAAAACTGGATGCACTATTCTAGGTGTGGTCTTAGTAAGGCTTTATAGAGAGGTATTAGTACCTCACTTGATCTTAATTGTATCCCTCTGTTGATGCAATTTAGGATTGCATTGGCTTTTCTGGCTATCACCGCACACTGCTGGCTCATATTTAGCTGGTTGTCCACTAAGACTCCAAGATCCTTCTCACAGTTACTGCTATTGAGCCTGGTTTCACCCAGTCTATATGTGTACTTTTGATTTTTTTTGCCTAAGTGTAGGACTTTAGTTTTCTCTACATTGAATTTCATTTTGTTAGATACAGCCCAGTGTTCTAGTCTGTCAAGATCCATCTGGATCTTTTTTTTAAAAAAAAAATATTTTTATACATAAACATTTCTGAATACAGTGTTTTGTCCGAGACTGCTATTTACAAAGAATAAGAACCATAGCTAGTACTATAGAAATATTGTCCCATCTTCTAATAAGAATACTTATAATATCATACAATATTGTAGTTATACACCATCTCTGTTTTTAATAAAAACATTCATTGTTTTCTTTCTCTAACTTCTACCCCTTGTCTTTAACCAGTCATAGAATTTATTCCATATCAAGTAATATTCTGAGTCTTCTTTTTCTTTTATTTTTAAGGTTAATCTGTCCATCTCAGCACACCAGAGAAAAGGAAAGTGGCTTAAACACTTTCATGGATCTTGAGCCTATCATCTAGGGCAGGGGTCTTCCAACTTGACAGCTTTGTGGACTTCAACTCCCAGAATTCCTCCTCCAGTCATGTTAGCTCAGGAATTCTGGGAGTTGAAGTCCACAAGTCTTAAACTTGCCAAGTTTGAAGACCCTTGATCTAGGGTGTTGGCTATTCCAGTTTAGTATCATCCATAAATTTGGTATGTTCCCATTGTATCCCCTTAGATGAACGTAACAAATTATGAAGATACTGAAAAGTACTGGGCCTAGAATAACAGGAAGAAGAGCCACTACCAAGCCAATATAAGTAGTCCTCAACTTACAAAAAAAAAGTGACATGACCATTTTCCCCACTTATGATTGTTGCAGCATCTTCATGGTCACATGATCATAATTCAGCTACTTGGCAACTGGCATGTATTTATTGTTGCGGTGTCCTGAGGTCATGTGATCAGCTTTTGCGACCTTCCGACTAGTAATGTCAGTGAGGAAGCCAGATTCTCAAGAACCAACCACTTAACTTCCGATTGTGGCAAGAAAGGCCGTGAGATGGGCCAAAACTCACTTAACGACTCTCTCACTTAGCAACAGAAATGTTGGGCTCAATTGTAGTCATAAGCCGAGGCTTAGTTGTAGTTAGATGAAAGGGCCTTGAGTCCAGTCCAAGGAAGTAAAAAAAAAACCTGTCAGACTAAGCCTTCCTTAGTTCCTACAAAAACAAAGTGAGTGAGAGAGAACATATCCCTAAATCATCAATCTGATATTTGCTTCTTTAAAAAAAAAAGTCCATATAAGGTTTCTAATCTATCGAAAAGCTATTAGTCAGTTTTTAACTAAACTGGTCGGTTTCCCTATTTCTGTGAACTCAATTAACTTTTTAATCCAATCTTCCTCTGGAGCTTTGTCGTTGCCTTTCCAATGTTATGCAAACAATAACCTCATTGCCATTTCCAATACAGTATTAAATTCCGTATTTCTTTCCTAATTCCATTTCCATAAGACCCAGCTGGAATGATTCTGGTTTCATCATTAAAAACAAAAAAATCCTATTTGCAAACTGAGATACAACTTACCACTGCTAAAAAAGCCAAAAACTCCAACACGGTAATTTGCAGTTATGACGATGAGATTTCCAACTCCAGCTAAGTAAGAACCATCAAGGGATGCTTTTTTGCCTTGGTCGTCATCATTTATGCTGTTGTGGAAGAAAACCAGCACTGGTAGATTCCCTCCCTGTCACAATAAAGGATAGATTTTGTTATTATTGTTGCTAATAGAAATATATTACAGCTGCTGCTGTCTCCTACACACTCTAAGCTGCTACAAACACAAATTGATAAAAAGCAGGTTAAAACATTCTAGATAAAAAAACATACTAGAATAAAACATATTAGATAAAAAGCAGTTTAAAACAATCCATAGGCAGCTCAGAGTAAAACAATTAAACATTAACATTAATTAACAATTAAAACCGTTAAAGAAGCTGTCAGTTGAGAACTAAGGTCAGCCATAAATAATATTCCTTAATGTTGCCCTTCTCTTAGCATTGCTAACTTGTCATCCTCATTGCAGCCAAAGTTGACCTGGGCCAAAAATATCTACTGTGGGGGAGTTCTAATTTTAACTGAAAATAGCAGAGGTTCCTAGTTTTCTAATGTGATCTAATATACTTTATAATTCATGAGTTATAATGATAATTTGGAAGAGTGAAACTTCTAGGACAATCTTGAACCTCCACACTCATCGACATCTTTCACCTCAAATCATTGACACACCCATATTGTATCATTTCAGTAGAGAATGCTGAAATCTTGCAAAAAGATCATGGAATTCTCCCTTCCTTCTTCCCTTCCTTTCTTCCTTCCTTCCTTCCTCCCTCCCTCCCTCCCTTTCTCTCTGCCTCTGTCTGTCTGTCTGTCTCTCTCTGTCTCTCTTGTTCTCTTCCTTTTTTATGTTTATAAATATTTTTATTACTTTGTATCACAAATCCCATTTCTATATTGAACAGTGTGTTTTCTAGGTATCCAAAATGTTAAAATATAAACATCATTATAATCATGTGCATACAAACATATATAAGATAATATCAATCCTTATCAGAAAGTATACTATCTTCCATATTGACATCGATTGTATAACCATCAGAATATTTACTAATCAGTTTTTCTTTCTCGTGTAGTCCATATTTCACATAAATCCACTCATTTAACCTCTGTTTCTATCAACTAGCCATTTGTAGAAAAGTTCCCTTGTTATAAAATATTCCGAATCTTCTTTTTCTTTAATTCTTAGAGTTGACCTATCTATTTCTGCACATTCCAGAATCTTTTTGATTATATTGTCATCTTGTTCTCTCTTTCCTCTTTCCACCCAGATCATCGCATTCAGCACTGCATGGTGAATGAAAAGATTGCTGGTCCCTGAATTCTTCCCTGAATTCTCAAGGGGTTACTAGAAAAAGATGTAAAAATTTGGTGTGAGATCAATCTGCTAGAAAACACACTAATTCGTGGCCAAGAGCTTGCATTTGTGTGAAATTTAAACATATCCTGGTTGTCTCCGCAGATAAAGAATTTCCATTTGAAGTCACATAACTGCGCCCAGGTAATTCTGAAGGTGTTACCAGAGCTCAATTCGCCTAGACTAACACAGTTCTCCTCCTCTATCGTTTCAAAACAATAGTTCTCTCCAAAACCTCTTCATCTAGTTAAATTGGAGAAAAAACACAACAGACTGTTAACACCTTCCTCCTTCATTTCTCCACAACCACTTCAGTGTTCGGAAGTAAAGCCCTTGAATGCCTGATTATGAACAACAGGAAAAGCAGAAAAACTGAGCAGAGCCTTGAGAGCTGTTTGAAAGGGCGGTAGAGAGAACCGAGGCATGAATGTAGCACCTGCCTGTGGCTTCTTACACCAAACCTACTGTATCTTTTCCTGAGATACCTGACATAGGGCAATCCTATAATGCTGGGGAAAGATGCAGCAGCTTTAAAGAGTCACAGATGGGTACATTATCCCTGTATGTTCTGAGCATCCGTTTGGTTTTCAAATCAAAAGGACTACATCCAGTGGAGGAACTGCCCCACTGCATTAAAAATCTAAAATGTTTCCAGTAAGTCGGGGCCATGTTTCATTCCACCCTTGCACAGGAATATCCCTGTATCGGCTTCCATTCAGCTGAAGTGCAGTTTAAAGTGTTTGGAGTTTGAGGGACATGAAATCCATGGGTCTGAAGCCACTTCATCACCCTCTCACTTCCTGGTGTTCTTTCCACTCCCAAATTCTCAGAACAGCTTTGTAATAATCTATATAGATATATAAGAGCGAAATACCACTCATGCAACATTACAAAATCTCCACAACCGTAAAGCCTACAAGCTTGAAATTTGGCAGGTATGTTCCTCTTGGCTTCTAGGTGCTTACTAAGAAAGGATTTTTCAAAATGAGCATTAGTATTTCATATACTATTATTAACATGCTCTGATGCTAAGGAGTTCTACACTCCCTCCCCACCTGAAAAGAAATCTGTTCCAAATGCAAAACACAAGCAAAGGAGAGGAGTTTCAGTTTCAGTTTTAGTTTCACAACAGCAAACCAGCTTTAGTACAGAACAATTGAGCTAAGCTATGCCCAGGCTCCTTGCTGTCTCCTTCTTGCTCACACAGCAAATACTATTTCAGTTTCCATGTTTCAGTTTCCAAACAGCCCTCAACTGTCTCACACACTGACAGGATGCTAGCCAGATGAATACCAATGGATACTGGTCGGCAGAGGCACAATTTTTTTTCTTTATTTTCCTCCCAAAAAGCTAAGTCCAATCACATAGTTTCGTAGTGAAGCATGGGTATAGAGCGAGTGATACACAAGTCATGTATGGTTGCCTTCTTTCATTGGTTATAGGAGAAGAGAAGGCAGAGCTGGGGGAGGCAAAGTTAAATGCATTATCAGCCTAGAGTCATTACGTTGCCACAAACGTCCAAGTCCAACTCCTCCTGAATTCTTTTTTTTTTAATTGATTTTCTATTAATACATTTCTTAGTGCTTTATAAACATTCTGTTGTCTGGGTACTTAATTTGCTTAACAATACCATTTATATTCTTAATCTCCTTTTTCCCAACCATTGGTAAAATAAATTCCATGTTTGATAATATTCTACATCCTCTTTCTGCTTAATTTTCAATGTCAATCTATCCATATCTGCACAATCTAGTATCTTCTTGACTATTTCTTCATCTCATGGTATATTTTCATTCTGTTGAACCTTATCTGGCACCAATTTAGTTTTGATCTTTAGTTGACTAGGTTCTTGTGTACAGCGTTGAGTAATACAACTCGGAACTGCAACTTAACTGTGTCCCTGATCCTTTAAACGTAGCATCTTTTGACCTCCCAGTGTGATTTACACCTCTGTGTTTTTCTAACGGTCTCCCAACCTAATATTATTTATGTTTGGGTTATTATTATGTTATTATTTATGTGCAAGGGGGACTTTGATCATACCATTGTGGGGGCCATCTTGACATTTTGACCACTCTGTGGGGACACCCCTGTCTCCAAGATATTAACCAGTGTAAAAGAGCTTCATAATGCGCCACATGGACTTCTACACAATCAAAATCCCTAATGGTCAAGGCTACTAATTTCATCAACTGCTCGCCCCATTTTGTCTAAAAATGACTGTGACATTCCATGCATATCTAAGCATAGATCCAAAAAGACCCCATTGTCAATGGGTTTAGCAACCTCATCTCATGCTTCTTTCCTCAGAGTAGATTCCTGGAATAAGGGAATGGTCAGAGAAGACTAAGGTGGTGCGTTAATCCAGTACTTACATTGTTCTGTGGGACAAAGATGTTCAAAAACAAGCAATCTTCACTGACTGAAGAAAGGCTATCATCTCCTGGTTGCCAACAGTTAGCTCTAAAGATACAATAAAGTTTTAGTTTACTTTATTATCATTGCACCTCGTACAACGAAGTCAAACACCATCTTCAGTGCACATCATGACCATGAAAATAAACACAAACACACATCCTTCACCATTCACACATTGAACCGAAACCCCCCAACACCACACCAACACTGCACTATACAGTATAATTCAAATGAGCTACTGCTCTGGGATAGAAGCTGTTTTTCAGCCTATTTGCCCTTGTTTTTACTATTCTGTACTGTCTGCCAGATGGTAATAGTTCAAAAAAAGGGGGTGCCCAGGATGAGATGGATCTTTGAAAATGTTTTAAACTTTCTTAAGGCAGCGGGAGCTATAAAGCTCTTCCAAAGAGGAGAGAGGGCAACCAATGATCTTCTGGGCAATGACGTTAACCCTCTGGAGCGCTTTCCTATCTGCCCCTGTGCAATTGGCCAACCATACAGAGGTGCAGTAAGTTAAGATGCTCTCTATGTTGCAGTGGTAGAAGGTCACCACCAGTAGTTCATTCATTAAAGTACTTCATGATTTGTTTAAAGTTCTAGTGATCACAAGGAAACTGTTGTGGTTCACTGGCAGCAGGCGCAGATGGCTAAGGTCTCAGAGAGCGAGGACTCAGATGAGGGGCCTGCGTGCGATGCAGGGATGGGGCCAGGGCTATCAGGGAGTGGAATGCTTTTCTTCCCTTTGCTGCTACTCTTTATCATACTATGTAAATAACGATAATGCTTCTGTCTGCAGACTCTGTTGTTTGCAACTCTCAAATTATTTTCTTATCCTGTACTTAATACAAGGGTGTGATTCAACCGGCTCAATGAGTGCACGCTTCACATTCACTCAGAGCATTTGCTACTGACTTTCTCCAGCAATCTCTCTGTGTTAAACAGTTGATGTGCTGTGCCACGCGAATCAGCTGAGCTTGAAAACCAGGATATAAATCAGACCCTGGGCGGGCGAGTGGGCCCAACAGCTGATCGTCGGAGCGAACCAGTTCGCTCCTAGCTGATCCTTGGAGGTACCAGTTCGCATGAACCAGGCCGAACCAGTAGAATCTCACCCTTGACTTAATACATTTACTCTAAATCGTAAGTCCACAGACTGAAGCCTTATTAACAAAGCACTATACAATTAAACAGGGAAAGCATTATTAATCAGTAAAGACATAACAAAGAATTCAGGAGTGCAGATTACAGCAATATTACAAGAAGGCCTTTCAGTGTCTTTTTAAAATTTGATTTCTTGCACGAATCCAGAATTAACAGTTTCAAGTAGCTTTTCAGCTAGAATGAATGCTTATAAATTTATATCTAATCGAGGGCTGATCTCTTGAAATGCCTGCACCATTACAACAAAAAAGACACCTGTCAGTTCACATCTCACTTCTAAAGACCCTAACGATGGATGCTTTTTGTTTTTCTGAAGTAAAGGAATGCAATAAAGAATGACAATGTGGCTCAAGACAACATACACCACTGTTGTGGGTCTTAACTGAGCACCTGGATGACCAAGATAGGACCTCTTTTGTGGTAAACTGTCAGCACAATCTGGCTGAGTTCACACAACCCACACAAGTCAGGTGCCCAAGAAATTAGGTCACCCAAAATGAGAGTTCCCTCAACCATCCAATCATACCAAGCAAGACCAAATGGAAAAAAAAATTAAAAAGAAAAATTACTGCCATTTTTGTAAACAAGTTAAGGTCAAGCTTGAGAATTTAGTACAGTCGCTTTCCTTCTATGGAAACTCCAACATGGGAGGAACTATCTATGTAGGTTTTCCTTCTACATTGGACCACATAAAGATTACAGGTCTTTCTTGAAACATGGCCACAACTGGAATCAGAATTTCCATTGCTAAGCAAGGCAGTTGTTAAATGAGTCGTGCAATGTTTATGATCTTTCTTTTTTGCCAAGGCCCTTAAGCAGGGGTGGGCTCCTGGGGGTTCGCAGGGGTTCAGATAACAGATAACAGATAAACAGAGTTGGAAGGGACCTTATAGGTCATCTAGTCCAACCCCCCCGCCCAAGCGGGAGACCCTACACTATTTCTGACAGATGGGGAGTCCAATCTCTTCTTGAAAGTCTCAAGTGATGAAGCTCCCACAACTTCCGAGGGCAACTTCTGTTCCATTGGTTGATTGTTCTCACTGTCAGAAAGTTTCTCCTCATTTCCAGGTTCGGGAGAGCCCCTAGCTAAGATTCTGTGCATTTTAGAGAACCACCACCCCTCCCCTCCCAGGAGCCCCCCCGCAGCCCGTTTTGGATGCAGGTAAGTGCAGGTGCACACGGAGGCTCAGGGAGGGCAAAAACCGGGCCTCCCGGAAGTTTGGGAAGGCCGGAAATGGGCCCGTTTCCAGCTTCCGGACAGTCTCTGGAATCCAGGGAGGCCATTTTCACCCTCCCAGAAGCTCAATACAAACCTCCGGAGCCCGGGAAGGGTAAACACCACCATGGTGCAGGAGGCCAACTAGGCCACGCCCACCATGGCCACACCCACCACCAACCAGGCAGAGAACCCTTTGCTAAAATCTTTGAAGCCCACCCCCGTTCTTAAGTAAAACAGTGCAGTTGTTAGGTAAATCAGGTGGCCATTAAAAAAATCTAGCCTTCCCCCATTGGCTTTGCTTGTCAAAAGCCAGCTTAGAAAGTTGCAAATGGCTACCATATGACCCTGGAATGCTGCAACTATCATAAATGCATCCTGGTTGCTGAGCACCCAAATTTGGATCAGGTCACTTAACAACCGCGGCGATTCGCTTAATCACTGTGGCAGGAAAGGTCAAATTTCACTTAAGAAATGTCTCACTTAGCAACAAAAAAGTTGGGCTCAATTGTGATCATAAATACTTTGTGATATTTAAGAAAATGAGTCTCGGTTGTTCAAGCACCCTTGGTCTTCTCACCGGGTTGTGGTTGCATTCCAGAAGTCTGTCCAGGTGAAAGGCTGTGGAGGATGGAACCGATTCTCTCCCACCGGAGGCGCTGCATATGGAACTCCGAGGAATTGTCCAATGCTCTTCCATTCAGAACCCACCCGAATTACTCGAGAGATTCCCAACATGGTCCCTTGGGATGGGATGAATACTGAAGGCTCATTGTTTCTTTCCACAGTGGGTAGGATCACATCTGCACAGAGATTAAAAAAACAAAAACAGTATCAACACTAGAGATCTTCTAGGTTCTATTATATCACATGACCTAAAATGGACACCTAAGATCAAAAACGTCATCAAAAAAGCACAACAAAGAACGTTCTTTCTGCACCAACTCAGAAAGTTCAAACTGCCCAAGGAGCTGCTGATCCAGTTCTACAGAGGAATTATTGAATCTGTCATCTGCACCTCTATAAATGTCTGGTTTGGTTCTGCAACCCAACACTTCAGAGGATAATTAGGACTACAAAAAAAACAATTATTACCAACCTGCCTTCAATCGAGGACTTGTATATTTCTTTTAAAAGGTTGTGAAAATATTTACATACATATTACATACATATTTACAGACCCCTCACATCCCAGACATAACCTGTTTCAACTCCTTCCCTCAAAACGACGCTATAGAGCACTGCACACCAGAACAACTGGGCACAAGAACAGTTTTTTCCTGAATGCCCTCACTTTGCTAAACAAATAATTCCCTCAACACTATCCAACTATTTACTAAGTCTGCATTACTATTACTGTTAATCTTCTCATCACTCCTTATCACCCATCCCCTCCCACTTGTGACTGTATGACTGTAATTTTGTCACTTGTATCCTTACAACTTATATTGACTGTTTCCTAGTATGATTTGATTGCTTATTGTACCCTATGACCATCATTAAGTGTTGTATCTGATGATTCTTGACTTTTGACAAATGTATCTTTTCTTTTTTGTACACTGAGAGCATTTGCACCAAGACAAATTCCTTGTGTGTCCAACCACACGGCCAATAAAAAAATTCTAATTCTAATTCTAAAAACTCTTTGAGAAGAAGCTTTAAGCCTAACGATGCAGGTTTCAATCTGGGGACTCTATGTTAGACCAGGGCAGAGGTGGTATTCAGCAGGTTCTAACCAGATCTGGAGAACCGGTAGCGGAAATTTTGAGTAGTTCGGAGAACTGGCGAATACCACCTCTGACTGGAGATTTTACAGTATCCTTCCCCTGCCACGCCCGCCAAGCCACGCTCACAGAACTGGTAGTAAAAAAATTTAAATCCCACCACTGGACCAGGGGAGTCCAACTCAATTTCATTGAGGGCTGCATCAGGGTTGTGTTTGACCTCGGGAGGGCGGGGGTGGGGGGCGTGGCCAGGGGGAGTGGCCATCATGATGCCACTTGTGTCAGGGGGCACCTGTGCTGGCCCGAGCGCTCTGCCAGCGAAAACAGACTCCTGAACTCTGTTTGATTGCCTCCTGCAACCCTCTGGTTGCAAAATGGGCTCCCAAGCTCCATTTTGGGCTAGGACGGCCTCCTGCAACCCTCTGCCAGCAAAAACAGAGCTCGGGAGAGTCATACATGGCCCTCGCAAGCTCCGTTTTCGCTGGCAGAGGTACTGCGGGCTGCTCCTTCCTTGTTTCCAGGCCAGATCTCAGCACCCCATGAACCAGATTCAGCCCCCAGGCCTTGAGTTTGACACCCCTGTGTTAGACTAAAATTCACCTTGGCCAAACCTGCTTATAAGCCATGAGATGCAATGACCATTACAGAGGCTCTTCCCCAAAAGTGGTTGTTGTTTTAATCACTTAGTTGTGTCTGACTCTTGGTGACTTTATAAGCAATTGCTCTCCATGCTACCCTATCAAGCACAGATTATTTCAGTTGTTGGATGTTCATCCTTGCGTCGACCTTCCTGCGATCAAGCCAGCTTGTCCTTCTTTGCTTGCTTTCCTTCTTGATCCGCTAACCATTTCTAGCATCATTGACTTCTCCAATAACTTTACATGCATTACATGGTCAAAGTAAATCAGATGTGGTCTTATGATTTTAGATTCTAGCGATGGGTCTGGTTTTCTACAATTCAGCGCTTCTCTGTTGGTCGCGCTGCTGTCCATGGTAGGTGCAACAATTTACATATAATATTTTTTTTCTCAAAAGGACTCTGCAGTTTTTCTTTAAAATTCCTTTATCACTCTAATGAGTTATATACTGCATGTGTCTTCCTCAATCTTGGGTTCTCTACGTAGACCTGGGACTTTGAAGGTTCTTCTACACGTAACTTAGCTGTTCCTATCTGCATTCTTCTGCAGAGGAAGCTCCGATGTTATTCCTGGCATCTGTTGGAGTCACTCTCGATCTTAGAAATCACATCCCCAAGTGCTGCTATAACCCTTGCTAAATATTGCTAAATATTGGCCTTCACTTTCCACAACTTCTCTATTTCCTCCTTTAGGCCCTGCTACTTCTCTAGTTTCTCGTCCTCCTTCTTCCTGATGTAGCTATCACTTGGCAATCCCCAAAAGGTGCTTTTTTCAGGAGGCAACTAGACTTTCTGCTTTTTCTTTGAAGACATTTCGCTTCTCATCCAAGAAGCTTCTTCAGCTCTGACTGGATGGTGGGGAATGGAAGGGTTTATATTCCTTGCAGACAGCTGGTCATTTGCATTCTTTTAGAGAGTCATTGAGGCCACCTGGAGGTTTATTTGTGTCATCAGGGTCACCTGAGTGGTGCACATGGGTGAGGAGCCTTCTTGGAACTGTTGAAAGGATTGTGTTGTAGATTGGAGACAATGATGTCGTATCCCAACCCTCTCTGTTGAGATAGGGCTGTTCAATTTTGACATCAATGGCCTCTTTGACCCCTCTTTCAAACCAGCAATCCTCTGTCCAAAATGTGGACTTGGTTGCTCCAAAAGACTGGCCTTTGTCTTTTAAATGCAAATGGACTGCTGAATCTAGTCCTGATGAGTTTGTTCTCCTTACTCACTAAAAGGATGCAAATGACCAGCTGTCTGCAAGGAGTATAAAACTTTCCATTCCCCACCTGCCAGTCAGAGGTGAAGAAGTCTCTTGGATGAGAAGCGAAACATCTTCAAAGAAAAAAACAGAAAGTCCAGTTGCCTCTTGAAAAAGCATTTTTGAGACAACCGTGACCTGGATGACTATGAATCTCCATAGACTATCACTTGGCACTGCTACATCTATCCAGTGGTGTGATTCAAATAATTTAACAACAGGTTCTCTGCCCTAATGACCGACTGAGTGGGCGTGGCCCTGGTGGGCATGGCAAAGGCCAGTGTGACAGGCAACACTTGGGTTCCTGCACCCCCTGGGAGCAAAAACAGGCCATGGGGGGAGGGAGGAGGCACGCCGCACCCCTCCGCACCCCATTTTGAGCCTAGTAGGCCTCCCTGCACTTACCTGGGATCCAAAACGGGGCATGTGGGAATTTCTGGAGGGAGCAGGGAAGGAAGGTGTGGGGCCAGCCAGCAATTTAACAACCAGTATGGCCAAAGTGGTGCAAACTGATTGAATCCCACCACTGCTGTCTTCTGGTCCTTGTCTATTACTTCAATGTCTGGTTGCTTGGCCAGCGCCTGCCTGTCTGCCTGTCTGGACCTGGAAATCCAATAGGGTCTTGGCCCTCTTATATTCTGCTATCTTGTATGGAATCTCCCATCTGGACTTGGTTGGGTCTAGCCCATACATTGTGCAGATACTCCCGACAGGTCATCATCTACTTCGTTGTGCTCTTCAGAGCATGCGGTTCCTGCCTTCACCTGTGGTTTTCATCTATGCCTTTGATTGGGGGCAGCTTTATACCGTATTCACTTTTAGTCTTCTCTTCTTAACCAAACTTGGCACTGTTCAACGGCTATAAGATCTACTGCCATGCCGGTTTATTTCCACTGTGTCTCCTGATTTTGTGCTTCAGAGAAAGCAAAGATTAGCCAATCAAGTCTCCTTAATCTTTTGCCACGTACGCACCTTGCTTTCGATAGATGTAAGTAGCCGGCTCCTTGAGCAAAATACGACAGCGGTGGCCTTGAAGACTCAGGGTACAAGTCTGTGTTTCTGGGTAGAACACGCATCGTGCTGCCGATGGCAACATTTCAAGAGTGGCCAGTAGGCACAGACTGTCCTTTGAACAAACTGTGAAGAAAGAAATGTCCAACTGTGAATTGCATAGGCCGATAAAACAAAGAACAGGTGAAAACTGGCATTTTGGAGATCAAAATGGAAAACATAATCCAAAATGGACCAAACAAGGCCAATTCTCAGATGGCTACAGTGATGATATTTTGAAGGCCATTTCAAGAAGTGGTTTAATGTTCACCAAAAGAAACAAATAGAATCTATCTACTGTCCAATAGAGTAATGAAAGCCACCATTTCTTTGCAGTTGCTTTCAGTTGTGTTATTCTGGATACTCCACATCCTAAAGGTAAAGGTTTCCCTTGCACATACGTGCTAGTCGTTTCCAGTGCTAGGGGGCGGTGCTCATCTCCGTTACAAAGCCGAAGAGCCAGCGCTGTCCGAAGATGTCTCCGTGGTCATCTGGCTGGCATGACATCACGGAACGCTGTTCCCTTCCCACCAAAATGGTCCCTATTTTTCTACTTGCATTTTTTTATAGGCTTTTGAACTGCTAGGTTGGCAGAAGCTGGGACAAGTAGCCTCACTCCATTGCCCGGTGCTAGGAATTCGAACCGCTGAACTGCCGACCTTTCGATCAACAAGCTCAGCGTCTTAGCCACTGAGCCACTATGTCCCTTATCCTAGGACACACCCCGTATCCTAGGACTTTCTAAATATCATATGAAAAGAAGGGACTTTTATTACAAATGATGCAGCTTTGTATATAATAATGTAAGACAGTTTTTTTTTCCAACTTGATGCAACTCCAGATATAAAGAGACCAGGAATTCTGAGAGTTGCAATCTGAACACATATAAACAGAGAGAAAAAAAAATCACTGCAGGATATACTTCTTAGTACTAATTATTATCACTGCTTAATGGTGAAGTTAGGCCTGTTTTTAAAGAAATCAAGTAGTTTCCCTTTATGTTGTGACAACCTGGTTGAGTGAACCTAGGAAGAGGAGGAGGAGGAGGAGGAGGAGGAGGGAGGAGGAGGAGGAAAAGGAGGAGGAGGGAGAATTTTCCAATCAAATTTCATATCATCTGTTTTATAAATATTACAAGTCTTACCCTCCAAGAGGCAGGAAATGGGATCACATTATGAGTCTGCTTTTGGGTTGTTAATATCTGAGTTAAGCTCGAAACATACGTAGCGCCTTTGAAAGACCAGCCCTGAAAAGCTGAATCTAGAAGTGAAGTTCTAAATATCTGCTCTTGCCATACAGATACCATCCTCCAGACAGCAATTTGCATCAGATAGAAAGAAGCTATTTCATTCCTGCACAGGGCTTCCAGACATAGCTAAATAAATTTGTTTTTGTTTTCTTTTGCTTATACCCCTTTAAAGCTGGGATAAACTTCAAAAAGGCATCTAATGTGGAAATATAAGCCATGTGCTTAAGTTATCAGCCTCCAGTTTCAAATGGCTTTCTTAGAAGTTAGTAATTAAAAAAGATTTCAGTAACTCCCTTTAAGTCTGTCCTGATTCAACCCTACTTCTACTTCCACGTTTTGTTTAAAAACTGGCATATTAATTCCAGTTAGTCAATTCACAGTGTAATTAATACAACTTGCATTTAAGAAGTCTTAGAGACAGTTTGGTGTGTGATAAAGATGCCAAACTAGAAACTAGGAGTTCTAGTTCCACCTTAGAAACCTGGGTAACCATGGGCCAGTCACTTTCCCTCAACCCAGCAAAGAAGTCAATGTCAAACCACTTCTGAAATCTGAGAGAAGGAAGGAGGGAAGAAGGGAGGGAGGGGGGAAGGAAGGAAGGAAGGAAGGAAGGAAGGAAGGAAGGA